CAACGTAACACACACCCAACCCCAAAACACAACGTAACACACACCCAACCCCAACAACACAACGTAACACACACCCAACACAACAACACAACGAAACACACACCCAACCCCAACAACACAACGTAACACACACCCAGCCCCAACAAACACAACGTAAACACACAACCCAACCCCAACAACACAACGTAACACACAACCAACAACACAACAACACAACAACACAACAACAACACACACAACAACACAACGTAACAACACACAACAACACCAACAACACACAAACGTAACACACACAACAACCCCAACAACACAACAACACACAACAACCAACACACAACACAACAACACACACACAACAACACAACAACACAACGTACAACACACCAACCCCAACAAACACAACGTAACACACACCCAACACAACAACACAACGTAACACACACCCAACCCCAACAACACAACGTAACACACACCAACCCAACAACACAACGTAACACACACCCAACACAACAACACAACGTAACACACACAACCCCAACAACACAAACGACACAACAACAAACACACACACCACACCCAACAACAACACAACGTAACACACACAACCCCAACAACACAACGTAACACACACCCAACCCCAACAACACAACGTACACACACCCGCCCCAAACAACACAACGTAACACACACATCCCCAAAAACACAACGTTAACACACACCCAACACACCCAACACAACAAACAACGTAACAACACAACCCAGCCCCAACACACAACGTAACACACACCCAACCCCAACAACACAACGTAACACACACCCAACCCCAACAACACAACGTAACACACACCCAACACAACAACACAACGTAACACACACCCAACCCCAACAACACAACGTAACACACACCCAAACCCAAACAACACAACATACTGGCGTCACATTTTCTCCAAACTTCTGACTCTTCCATAGACTTCCATTAAGTCACTCCGACTCAGCGAACTCAAAGAACAAACACATGAACCAAATAAAGTGATATAACCACTGTCCAGAAGACACTCACTGACCCTCCACAAGGAGAAAGACACAAAAGGTCAGTGTTCACAGAGAGCTGAGTCCAAACAGATTCAGAGATGACTGCAGCCTTGAGATGATTCTCAAGCAAAATCCACTGTAGAATTTGTGGGAGTTTCATAAGGATTGAACTGAGTCTGGAGTCAGAACATCAAGAGTCACTACACACAGACGAAGACTCTATGGACATGAGACGATGTCAGGAGAATCTGACCTGGACTGTGGAGAAAAACAACTGGACTTTTACTCAGTGTCCAAAGTCTCTTTTCAGATTAATGTATTTTGCATCTTTTGGAAATCAGGGTCCCAGAGTCTGAAGGAAGAGTGGAGGCACAGAATCCACATTGCCTGAGGTTCAGTGTAAAGTTTCCACAGTCAGTGATGATTGTGCTGCTGTGTCTTCTGCTGGTGTTGGGCCACTGTGTTTTCTGAAGTTTTTCTGCAGTCATCTACCAGGACATTTTACTGCACTTCATGCTTCTTTCTTCTGAAATGTTTTATGGAGATTCTGATTAAATATTCCAACCAGACTTGACACCTGCCCACAGAGCCAAAGGCACCAAAACATGGTTCACTGACCATGGAGTTACTGCATTTGATTGTTCTGCAAACTCTCCTGACCTGAACCCCACAGAGAATCTCTGGGATATTGTCAAGAGGAAGATGAGACACACTAGAGCCACGATGCAGATGATCTGAAGGTCTGATTGACCCGCCCAAAGAGAGCGGGAAAGAAAAAACATTTCTTCAGGTCAATGTGACCCCGAGGAGAGCATGAGGGTTAAGAAAATTTGTTTGGAGGATAAGACCCTTGAGACGTCTCGCCATCTCCTTTTTGAGAGGGTCCTCAGAATAATAACAACAGAAGACAGATACAGTAGGATACTACAGTACAACAGGAACATATAAACCAGACAACAAAATCAACAAAACCACACACACACATTCACTCACACATGACTGTTAGACACTGAAGAAGTCAAATTTGAACAAAAACTAAGAGTTCAAATGTCGTCACAAAAATAGTCAACAAGATGATCAAAAACAATTCCACAGGTTATGAAAATGATGCACCAGAGAATTTTTAAATTAAGGGTTAATGCGCAAATCGATGAGGGAAGATTGTTCCAATCAGACGGTGCTTTATATTTAAATGAGTGTTTTCTAATTTGTTTTTTGACACTTGGAACAAAAAAAAAACAAAAAAAAAGATCTGTGTGACGTAAACTGAAAGAGGAGCTGAATGGAATTAAATACTGTTTGAGATCTTCAGGAGAACAGAGATGAAGAATTTAAAGATAAATAATAAGTTGATGTCGGGAGAACAGAGTGAGCAGGACAGATGGAACATGACAGTGGAGAGTTCTGAAGAGACAGCGGAGAATAAACCTGCACAGACTGTTCGAGATAAACACTGAGTTGGAGGATTGAAGTTGTGGAGTTTTGATAAATGATATCACAATCATCTAAACTGGGAATTCGATGTCACTGTCGAAGCAGCCTGGGCTTCTATTTGACCTGAGCAGAGCCACAGGAGGATCTCCTCCAGGCCACGTGCACTGACGCACTGATCCAGGCAAAAGACCCGACCAAGTACTGAGAGCAGAAAAATGAACACTTTTCAAAAACCTGACATTTCTGTTTCAAATATACATTTTTTATTGATCTTATGTAATATTCTAATTTTCTGAGACACTGACTTTTGTTTTTTTCATCTATAAGCCACAATCATAAATATTCAAACATTTAAAAAAAACCTCTTGAAATATTTCACTCTGTGTCATGAGTCTATATAGTATACGAGTTTGAGTTTCTAAAAATAATATTTTATTTTTTCATGATAATCTAATTATTTGTGATGGATATATAGTATATTAAATAAGTGCATTAGTAGAAATGCTCACCCCCATTTTATCTCTCTCCATGGTGGTGGTGGTGTGTGAACTACAGAAACATCATAAAACACACAAGCACAATTAATGTGATCAGATTATTTAAACTATAAATGATTTGAGAATTTATGCACAATATCTTACACAAGCTTTGTACAATGCCCATAGCAGCAATTCAAGAAAGAGCTGAAACAGTAAAAACAAGTGTGATTCTTCGTGTTAGAGCCAGTAGTGAGTTTTTACAGTGACAACAAATAGTTAAAAGTGAGACTTACCTTCCACCTTAACGCGACGAAACAAAAGTCTGACTGAAGCCGTGCGCAGACCGTACAGAAAACAAATATGTTCAGAGACAAGAAAGGACCAGTCCAAAAAGAACCTACTTCCTGCATCAAACCACAGAGTGATGTAAGTGTAAAGTGAAAAAGTCTTTAGGACAGACTGAGGAGGGAGGGAGCAGGATTTAACTGTGAGACACTGATCACACAGGTGCAGAGAGAGACAGAGACGGACGAAACACTATGGACCGTTTTAAATTTTTGTGCTGTTGTCAAACTTGCTGTAATGACACTGATGGGAAAAGTCAATCTTATTTGGCTGACAATGAAGGTGGGTGTTTCAACTACTCTAGGAGAAAATTGCAATTCATATATGTAACTGTAACTAATGTACATTAAAAAAAAAAAAATCTTAAGTAGCCTAATAATGTTTTGAATTTGTTTTAGTTCTTGTTCTTTCAGTAAAAGCAAAGGTCTTCCCTATAGTTGAAGGGGAAATATATGATAATGATAAGAGAATTATTGAGAAGAATCAAAGTTGTCTCTAAACAAATATAGAAGACTGTGACTTCATCCTTCTCTTTTGTTCAGTCCCTAATCGTCCTGCTTCAGACGTGAAAGCAGCCATGGACAAAGTCCCAGGTACAACTACAATACAAATGTGCTAAAAACTCAGACTTAATGTTTTAGTGGGAGTTTAGCTTATAAGTTAAATGGAGGCATTTTTGTTGATTTGTGCCTTAGTCTATATCAAAAGAACAAGATTTAACATTAAAATAGAGACAATACACACGCACAGGTATTTGTGTAGGAAAAACATCTTAGATCAATGTTCCATACCAGATTTTTCTTTCCATTTATCTATTTATTTATTTGTTTTATCATGAACACAACTGCCGTACGGGCCAGAGGTGTAACAGGCTGTAAGTAAGAACAAGAATGACCCAGAACCATAAACAACAAACCAGTAATATATATAAGCAAGAAACAAGAATAAATCAATAAAAAAGACAAACTAGAAGCAGTGACAAGTCGTCCAGGAGTGAAAGGCCAGTGTCTGTTATGATATAAAAGTTTTATCAGATTGACTTCCAACACAGAAGTACTTGTACTTATGTTTATGTATTTAAATGTTTTCTGTTATTTTTGTTTTGCAGACAAAGAGAAACCTGTGATCCTTGTTACAATGTACTACGAAAGAAAGGAAGTCGAAACTAAAACTTTTGCAAATTACCAGAATGTTTATAAAAACATATGTCTGCATGTTAATATTTTCTACCATGAAACAACTCATTTGGACAGCCCCAACAATCACAGGGCCATTGAGGAAATAAAACTAAGTTTTTAAAAAATCCACAATGAATGTTTTCTATTTCAGTATAAAATAAATAACTTTATTCATGGATTCTTTTCTTCACACTTTCTAAATGATTCTGAGCTGTTTCATTTTGTACATTAACTCAAAACAACACTTATTATTCATGTAACTTAAGTTGCTTTTCCTTCTGTAAACATGCCTGTTGAAATAAATCATTGTAACTTAAAGTGCATCATGATTCTTATTTGTTTGTAGAGAAAATCGTCCTGACACACGAGTGTGAACACACGAGTGACTGATCAAACAAATAAAAATATGTGCAGATAAACTGAATGTATTTAGATTTCACAAACTGATTAAAATGTATTTGTGTGATATGTGAACGTGTTCTTCCCTGGTTTGATTGACAGCTCCCTGCAGGCTGCAGGGGGAGGAGTTTGT